GTTTAACAAAGGATACGTATCAGCTATCAAAGCAATTGCTCTATAATCTAAGTGCATGATGTTAGAAGCATTTAGTACTATAAGAGCATATAAGAAAGATCTAGAGATTTCTGCTTCTGCTATGATAGAATAGCGTATTTGGACCAATCTTCCCACCAAGAACATTTATAAAAACTATATAAAAATTTTTTAAGAAAAGAAAAAGCAGATGTCTGAAGAGAATAACTAAGACAGCCAGGATTCTGGGCACTAAGATCCTAAAGAAAAGTAAACACAGAAGTAAAACTGGAATTCTTCACTATATTTTCCTCAAAGCATTTACTAATTCCTAAGCCAGGAGTGAGGTGGGATGAGAGCTATAATGGTACAGGAGGCAAAGAAGCCAAGCATTGAAAAAGGGTAGATAAGAAGTTAATGAAATAAACAGAATTTTCATCAGTAGTTGTGAGTTTAGGACCTGTTATAGAGGAGGGGTCCTGGTAAATAACTCAGGCTTTCAGCTTAAACCCTTGAAGGGCTGTACTATAGGAATAAAGACAAACTGGAGATAAACTAGCCTTCACAGAAACTGAAATCCAGCATCAAACTATCTCAATCCTTGATTATATCAAGATGATTTGAGTTTTCCTTAATTGCCAGAAGACCTCAAATTCTTTTTGGAGGAATATATCATTGTCCAAAGCCTTTTCATCTTTTCATACCTAACATTTGGGCTTCAGTTTGAAAAGTTATCAGACATGCAAGAGGTAGAGCAAAATGACTAAAAACTAAGATAGGAAACAATTGATAAGGTAGACCTAAAAATGATGCTGATATTTATACTGTCTCACATGGACTTTAAATAACGATTATATGTTTAAGAAAAAGGGATGAGAAAATGGGGAATTTCATTAGAAAACTAGAATCCATTCATAAGAATCAAATGGAAATTTTAAAAAAGGGATAGAAAATATGGAAAAGTGCATAAAAGACACGTGAGATATGGCAAAAGGTCAAACATATATGTAAATAAAGTCTAAGAAGGAAAGGGGAGAGAAAGAGTGAGCAGAAACAATATTTAAAATATTGGTGGAGAGATTTTCAAAATCAATAAAAGACATCAAGCCAGTGGTGCCTCACACCTGTAATCCCAGCACTTTGGAAGGCCAAGACAGGTGGATCACGAGATCAGGAGGTCGAGACCAGCCTGGCCAATATGGTCAGGTGAAACCCTGTCTCTACTAAAAATACAAAAATTAACCAGTCACGATAGTGCACACCTGTAGTCCCAGCTGTTCGGGAGGCTGAGGCAGAAGAATCACTTGAATCCGGGAGACGAAGGTTGTGGTGAGCCAAGATCATGCCACTGCACTCCAGCCTGGGTGACAGAGTGAGACTCCGTCCAAAAAAAAAAAAAGACATCAAGCCCGAAATTCTAGGAGCTCTATTAATCTCGAGCCAGATAAATAAAAGAAACCATACCTAGGTAATCAGCAACACTACTGAAAACCAAAGACAAAGAGAAAATTTTACCAGAAGGATGTATTACCATCAAAGGACCAATAATAAAACTAACAAATGATTTATATAGAAATTATGGAACTCAGAAAGCAATGGACTGGGATTTGTAAAGTGCAGGGAAAAAAATACTGCCAATAGGGAACTGTAAAGAAATCAAAAATTTACTTCAAAAATGAAGGTGGAATAAAGACAATTTTAGCCAAACAGAAACTTTGCAGACCTAGACTACATAGTTTTTTTAAGGTAGAAGGACTATGGAAGCATGGAAATGCAAAAAGAACTAAAGAGGGTTCACATGTCAGCAAATGTAAATGAGTGTTGATTGTGTAAAATAATAATGTCTTGTGAGGCTTAAAATATAAATACTATGCAGTGAATATGTCAAGTATATATTATCAATATATGTAGAAAATATATACAATAAATCAAATACATATACTTAAAATATACACATATACATGCACATACGTATATGCTTAAAGTGTATATAAATTATATACACACAATATTATGAAAAGTAGAAAGGCTTAAATTGAGTTGATATGTTTTAAGATTCTTGTATTGTCTGGGAAATGATTTTTAAAAACCCAATTATAAGTAGACTGTAATAAGTCAACTATATATATTGTAATCTCTAAAATAACTACTAAAATAATAATAAAAGAATATGTAACTAACAAGCTAATAGAGCGGAAAAATGTTAAATACAAAATATTTCATGAATCCTAAGGGAGGTATGGAAGAAGAAAAAAGGAAACAAAACAGAAGTAACAAAGTACAGTGATAGTTTAAAACCAAATATAGCGGTAACCATACTACATGTAGGCCAGGTGCAGTGGCTTATACTCATAATCCCAGCACTTTAGGAGGCTGAGGAAGGCTGATCACTTGAGGCCAGGAGTTCGTGACCAGCCTTACCAATGTGATTAAACCCATCTTGGTACAAAAATTAGCTGGGTGTGATGGCATGTGCCTGTAGTCCCAGCTACTCAGGAGGCTGAGGCATGCAATTGCACAATTGTTTGAACCCAGGAGATGGAGGTTGCAGTGAGCCGAGATGGTGCCACTGCCCTCCAGCCTGGGCAACAGAGTGAGACTCTGTCTCAAAAAGAAAAGAAAAATTATACTAAATATAAATAGACTGAATCCTTCAGTTAAAAATTGTCATTCTGGATTTTTTAAAAAACAGCTAATCATATGCTGCTTATAAGAGACATATCTTAAATATAAAGACATAGAAAACTGAAAGTAAAAGATTTGAAAAAGTTATAATGAAATATAGCTGGTGTAGCTATATTGATATCAGAGATTTTTGTTTTCTTTTTTTATAATACATGTTTTGTAATTCCAACTTTTTTTTTTCTTTTTCTTTATTTTTTTCTTTGAGGTAGAGTTTCACTCTTATTGCCCAGGCTGGAGTGCAATGGCATGATCTTGGCTCACCACAACCTCCACCTCCTGGGTTCAAGCAATTCTCCTGCCTCAGCCTCCTGAGTAGCTGGAATTACAGGCATGTGCCTCCATGCCTGGGTAATTTTTTTGTATTTTTAATAGAGACAGGGTTTCTCCATGTTGGTCAGGCTGGTCTCGAACTACCAACCTCAGGTGATCCACCCACCTCGGCCTCCCAAAGTGCTGGGATTACAGGCATGAGCCACCATGCCCAGCTTTATAATTTAGTTTTATTTTAGTTTTCTCTATTTTTATGTAGACAAATAGAGAAAACTAAAATAAAAAAGATTACTAGATATTAGGAGGGACATTTTATTATTTTAAATGAGTTAATTCATCAGGAATATGTAACATTTACAAATTATATCTAATAACCTAATATATATATATATAAAATCAGTTTTTCATTTAGTTCCCCAGTCTTGGGAGTTCAGAGGTGGCTGAGAAGATGACTGAGACCAAGATAAGGGTGGGATAGACTACAGGGTGAAAGAGAATTCAAGGCAGAAAGAAGAACCTTTTCAAAGACTAGAGGTGAGAGCTTAAAAAACTGGGCAGATTCGGTAGTTCATGCCTGTAATCCCAACACTTTGAGAGGCCAAGGCGAGTAAAACAGAAACCCTGCCTCTCCTAAAAATACAAAAATTAGCTGGGCATGGTGACACACACCTGTAATCCCAGCTACTTGGGAGGCTGAGGCACAAGATTTGCTTGAACCTGGGAGGCGAAGGTTGCAGTGAGCCAAAATCATACCACTGCACTCCAACCTGGGCAACAGAGTGAGTCTCTGCCAAAAAAGAAAAAAAAGAAAGAAAGGAAGGAAGGAAGGAAAGGGAGGGAGGGAGGGAGAACAATGTAGTCTGATGATGTAAGATTGATAGGAATGTGACTGGGTGAAAAGAAGGTTGTTGGATGAGAACAATGATTGGGGGGCTAGAAAATATAGGAATCTTTGATATTTAAAAGATGACACTTTTTTCTAAAAACCAGCAAGTTATTAAAGTGTTATATAGTCATTTGATCAAATTTGTCTCAGAGGATCTCTCTTAATACTGTGGGAGGAATGAATTGGAGGAGGATGGCACTACTAGCAAGGAGACCTATTTCAGTAATCTCAGTGAGATGTTGTTGGCTGAGGCTGTCGAGATAGAGAGAAGAGAACACATTTGTAAAATAAAAGTATCTCATAGCTTGTGAAATATTTAAAGTGTAGGCAGGTTACTGGACTTACTGTTAGATTGCCAAACCAAAAAAAAAAATAGTAATAGACCTAGATTTGTATTATTTAAGAGAAATTTTAAGGACTGTAATTTTTTTCTTTTTGTCTACAATACCAGCTGCAGGGCTGTGTTATATTCCATTTCCAAAGATCAGATTTTGTAATATCACTGTAGGTTGGTCATAGCCACAGGTTAGTTTTAATACTAGAATATAAAGTTGGAGCAGTTAAACTCCCTTGACTTCCTGTTTTAGAGTTTCCTCCCTGTTTTTCATTTTAGTTGAGCTATTTAGATTTGACAGATCTAAATACTCTGTGGGCATATGTGTAAGTCTCTCTTCAAGGAATGTATATGGCTTTAAGATCATTAAACCACATGATGTAGGACACATACATGTAGGTTCCTTGCCCAGGCAAGACTTAAAACATATTTGTTAACATCCTTTCTCAGACATAAAATTCTCTCTTAGAAGAGAGACAATAACTCATCAGCTAATGATATTACACATTAATGTAGTTGTTTTGTTTTTGTTTAACTTCCCCTACTAGAATGTACTTTCAGTGAGGACAGGGACGTTGTCTCTTTTGTTCAAGGCTGTATCCCCCTGCACCTAGATTGGTACTCATCATATATACCAGGTGTTAAGCAATTATTTATTGAATGAATGGATGAGGAATGAAGGAATATTTGTATTAAGCAAATCAACTTGACTAAAATAAGAAAGATGTCTCTTTTCATTTCAATTTTATAATTTAATGTTCACTTAAAGTGTTGAAAATCTAATATTAAAATGTTTGAAAGTAAAGTGATTATTTTTAATGTTTGCAGGACTATCTCAAGCAGGTGCTGGACATTGATCTTCATGCTCAGATCCATTTTGGCAGGGTTTTTATGAAACCAGGGTATGAAAATAATCTTGTTATCTCATATATGCGGTTGGTTTGGCTTGCTTTAACTAACAAACTTTTAAATGCCTTCTTTTTACATTTTCTATTATGAATTAACTATGCCAAAAAGAAATATAATATTAGGATCCTTTGCATAAGTGCAGCTCCTAATGAAATAGGCATTCATCTTCTTTATGAGTCAGTGAGTTTGGTCTAAACAAAACACAGCAACTTTCCAGACTTTTTCTCCTTTTTAATTCTCATGCCTAGTTTCTTCTTCCTCTTTTTTTCTCCCCAAACTGCTTCTTTATTTTAAAAAATAATTAATCTGAGAACTCTCAAATATACACAAAAGTAGGGAGTACAACAAACCCCCACCCCATGTATACTTGCATCACCCAGCTTCAGTAACTATCAACATTTTTCTATAATTTTTTTTATCAATACCCCTACCCAACCCTGCCTTTTAGTGGAGAGGGAGGGCTTAATCATTTAAAAGCAAATTCTAGGCATGTCATTTTGGCATACCTCTGAAATAATAATACTAACAACAACTTTCTCTTACATAATCACAATGTTATTTTCTCATCTGACAAAATAAATAATATTTTCATATCATCTAGTATCCTGATCATATTCAAATTTCTCCCACATATCAAGAGAAAGAATGCCTTTTTATAACTTTCGTTTGATAAGGATTCCATTAAGGTCCATAGAGTGTATTTGTTTAAGTCTCTATTAAATGAGAACATTTTCTGCCCCCACTCTTTTTGTTGTTGTGCCACTGACTTGCTAGAGAAAATGGATCACGTGTCCTGATGAATGTATTTGGTTTATTACTTCCTTAGGTATGTTCCTCTGTCACTGATACATGCTATAGATTGAAAGACATAAAGGCTTGATTAAATTCAGGTTTAATTTTTTTTTCCTTTGCAAGAATGTTTCATTAAGTAGACTTTCACACGGCATCCTACTGTCTCCCAGGAGGAAAGAAAAATAACCATGATTTTGCACATCTCTTAAAGACTAATAACCCCTAAAGAAGATGGAGATTTTGAAGTCAGTTATAAATCCTCAAAGGCTGCCAAATTTTGGTGTTGGTGAAACATATATGGCCATATCTTTAAGAAACAGTCTATCTGTTTAGACCTTTGCTACTTTATGAACCTATGATTTCTTTTTTTTTGTTGAGACGGAGTTTCGCTCTTGTTACCCAGGCTGGAGTGCAATGGTGCGATCTCAGCTCACCGCAACCTCCGCCTCCTGGGTTCAGGCAATTCTCCTGCCTCAGCCTCCTGAGTAGCTGGGATTACAGGCACGCGCCACCATGCCCAGCTAATTTTTTGTATTTTTAGTAGAGACAGGGTTTCACCATGTTGACCAGGATGGTCTCGATCTCTTGACCTCGTGATCCACCTGCCTCGGCCTCCCAAAGTGCTGGGATTACAGGCTTGAGCCACCGTGCCCAGCCCGAACCTATGATTTCTTGTTCAAAGACCTCAACTGTATGGCTGAGAGTTCCAGCACACCTCCATACTGTCAGGGACAACACTAATGATGCTTTACTGCTAATGAACCCTAGGAGGGAATGGAGTAGGGGCTTCCCAATTGTTATAAGTGAGCTATGGGAACCATCAACAAATTTCAAAAGCCTTTAAAGTGTCAAGCTAGCCCTCCTAAGAAGTCAGTTCTAGGAGGGATCAGGCTTTACCTCCATGATTTGGCCATTTTTAGTATAGAACTAAGATTATTCCTAAAGCTTTGTCCACAATTTGATAAAATTCTTGGCAATATATTTCTGTAGTTTCCTGTTGAATGTGCCCCAATATGGCTGCTGCTGACAGGGCCTTTTTATTATTGAAACTGTTGGATTTGGGCTGGGCATGATGACTCATCTCTGTAATCCCCATCACTTTGGGAGGCCAATGCTGGTGGATTGCTTTGAACTCAGGAGTTCTAGACCAGCCTGGGCAACATCGTGAAACCCCTTCTTTATAAAAAGTACAAAAATTAGCCAAGCATTGGTGGCTCGTGCCTTTAGTCCCAGCTACGTGGGAGACTGAGGCTGGAGAATCGCTTGAGCCTGGGAAGCCGAGGTTGCAGTGAGCTGAGATTATGCCACTGCACTCCAGCCTGGGTAACAGAGTGAGACCCTGTCTCAAAAAATAAAAAAGGAGAGAAAGAAAAGAAACAAACTATTGGATCTAGATCATTCTTATCAATAATATTTTGAGGCCTGGCTCAGTGGCTCACATCTGTAATCCCAGCACTTTGGGTGGCCGAGACCGGCAGATCATAGTTTTGATACCAGCCTGGCCAATATGATAAAACCCAATCTCCACTAAAAATACAAAAACTAGCCAGGCGTAGTGATGTGCACCTGTAGTCCCACCTACTCAGGAGGCTGAGGCAGAAAAATCACTTCAACCTGTGGGGGTGAAGGTTGCAGTGAGCTGAGATCATGCCACTGCACTCCAGCCTGGGTGACAGAGCAAGACTCCATCTAAAAAAAAAAAAAATACAAAAGAATAATATTTTGTCTTATGCAAATATTATTATGCTATTGGGTATACCTGCTTTTTTTTTCTGAGCCAATGGGCATTACTAATTTGATTAGAATACAGAGGATACCCCAAAAGCATATCAATGTGCTTCTCAAAACCTCACAAATTGCATTGGGCTGAGAGCAGTGGCTCACACGTATAATCCCAACACTTTGGGAGGCCATGGGGCTTGAGCCCAGAAGTTGGAGACCAACCTGGACAACATGGCAAAACCCTATCGCTACAAAAAATACAAAACTTAGTCCCAGCTACTTGGTAGTCTAAGGTGGGAGGATCACCTGAGCCCAGAAGGTAGAGGTGGCAATGAGCCATGATAGTGCCACTGCACTCCAGCCTGGGGACAGCAGAGTGAGACCCTGCCTCAGAAAAATAATAATTAATAATTTATGTTTCATTTGCAGAGGGAAAGAAGCAAACGTAACTTGTCCTTACCTCTAGAGAAGAGTTATTGTATAGTATCTATTATTTAAAATATTCTCAGTGCCTGTGATGATAACTTTTATACATTTTTTTCATCTGTTATTTACCACTCACTTCAACTTTAACAGTTCATCAATTCCTAATGTTTAATTTTCACCCTTAAAATCAGAACACTCTGTGACCTCAGCCATTGTGTAAATGCTGTTACATTCTGATCTCAAGTGGAGAACTGAATAATAGGTTGAGTTCCAAGGAAATGGCTTCTTGGAAACACAAAATTCACAGTTTGGCAATAGGACCTATATGATAGCGATGCATAATAACAAAATATTTTTTGTAATGGAATCCTTTTTAAAATTAATACCTTTACAGAAATTACATTACCTACCTGCAAGATGCAAAAGATTGCTTAAATTGGCCCTATGATTTAAATGGGCTTTAAATACAGTGGAAGGAAGAAACTGTTATACATTCTCTCCTAGTTCTTGTTATCTGTGGGTTTGCTAAAATAAAGTAGTTTCACAGTTTGAATGGGCTTCTTTTAGTTCACCAGAATTTTATACTTGTCTAAAAGTAATAAGAACTTTAAGGTAATTGCTACTTAATATTAGAACAAAAAGAAATACAAACCAAACAAATACAATTTGGCTTTGCTATTTCCACATAACAGTGCTTTCACAATGCAATTAAGCTCTTTCATTTTAGAGACAAAGATACTCAGAAAAGCCTCTGGAGTATTAGCAACCAGACCTACCAATTACTATTTTTTATTGGGTCATCTACAGTGAGCATAGCTGTTATTAAGAACAAATCTTTGAAATTATTTTCATCACACATAACTAATAATTGTCAAATAACCTATCCATAAATCAGTATCAAAATCTAATCTCAGCCAGGTGTGGTGGCTCATGCTTTGGGAGGCTGAGGCAGGTGGATCACCTGAAGTCAGGAGTTCGAAACCAGCCTGGCCAACATGGTGAAACCCTGTCTCTGCTAAAAATATAAACAAAACAAGCCAAAAATCTAATCTCATTTTTCTAAAACACAGCAAAGAATCAAGAAGTATGCAAAAACAAACAAACAAAAATAGCCTCAGAGTAGCCAAAATAGGTGTCCAAAGATCATATACTACCACTACATAACCATCCTATCATATCGGTATCCAAACATAAGCTCAAGTTAGAACAACCTTAGTTCAAATCTGTTCCCCCACTTAGTAGCTGAGTGACTTGGACCACATTGCTTAATCTCTCTGAATCTCAGTTTCCTCATATATAAGGTGGGATAAGAATTGTTACTTTATAAGCTTGTTGTGAGACTTAAATGAAATAAGGAATGTGATGCATAGATGTTACTTTAAAAATACATATTTTAGTCAGCAATAGTGGCCCACACATGTAATCTCAGCACTTTGAGAGGCTGAGACGGGAGGATTGCTTGAGCTCAGGAGTTCAAGGCCAGCCTGGGCAACATAGTGAGACTTCATCTCTACTAAAAATTTAAAAAATCAGCTGAGGATAGTGGTGCATGCCTTTAGTCCTACCTACTTGGAAGGCTGAGGCTGGAGGATTGCTTGAGCCCAGGAAATTGAGACTGCAGCGAGCCATGGCCGAGCCACTGCACTGCAGCCTGGGTGACAGAGAAAGACCTTGTCTTGAAAAATAAAGAAATAAAAACATATATTTTTATTGTTACTGAACATTATTTTCAACCTAACAATATAACTATTGCTACTATTCTCTGGTTCTCAAACCTAAAACCACCTTTAACGGTCAAGATGATAGCAGTCTGGCATTACAGGACGCCACAGGAAAAAAAAAATTGGAAGGAATAAAAAAGCAAACAAGAACTATACAAACATCACAATGTGGGTTTATGGCTTCTGCATGAAAACAATCTCTAGTATTCTTGTGACCTAACATCACTGTACTACAGCAGAGTGGAACATAGTAATAATGATGGCTATAAATCATCAAAAAGAATCAGTATCACCATATTATTGCAAAAGGTAATGAGTGATCTATTTTTGAAAGATCGATCTGCAAAAAAGTAAACATAAAAATAATTTGAGTGCTTAAAAGGTTAATATTTCATCTGTGTGAAAATTTCAGTATTCCCTAACAATTCCCACATTGCTTAAGTTTCACTAATACAATGAGATTTTTTTGCTAAAATTCTATATAAAGGGTAATTAATAGGAAAAAAAAAACCACTATTCTCAACTGCCCACTCTATGCCACTCACTCCTCCCACCCCACCTCCAATGATAAGAGTTCATGTCAAAATCTTGAGGAAGTAAAATTTGAGAATATTTAAAAATTACTATTAATTTTGTTCTAGTCATATTTAATATATCAAAAATAATGTCCTGATAAGAATTGTTTATGTCTATGCTAAGGATAGTTTTTAAAGGCTACTACAGAAGGAGCAGGATTGAAAGAAAAAAATTAAGAGATATTCATCTTGAACAAAGGCAATTATCTAATAGACATATTATCAGTTAGTCTTCTGCTTTGAAGAATGATTGTTGTAAATTGCCAGCAGAAGTAGTATAAACATTATTAACTAGAGTGGTGGGAAAACTTGGAAACTCCAAGATTTGGCGTCTATTTCTATGGCACTGACAAGAAGTAAACAAAGCAGGCTGATTTTCTTTAAGCCAGAAAGTGTGGTTACTTGAAAACAGAAAATGCTAAAAACAAACCTATTTAAATGTCTGTGAAATACTGCAGAGTATAAAGATGTAAAGGCAAGTCAACAGAAAGGTGTTTTTTATATAAGTGTATAGATTACAAAAAAACTAAAGTACTTAATGTATTCATCGTAATGCTTAGCAATCACTAACAAGTGACTTTTTTTTCTAGCTTGCCAACAACCTTTGCAACTTTGGATATTGATGGTGTAAGAAAAATAATCTTTGCACTACCTGGTAAGAATAACAGATTGTTTCCTTTGCTTTTTCTGGAAAAATAGCCAAAATTTTTTTAACTTCTCATGTGACCAGTACCCTATTAGATCGCTTGGTTTGAAATCCGAAAGACCTGGGCTCTGGTCTCAGCTTTTCTAAATGACCAATCACTTAACCTCTCTGAGGAGTTTTCTTCACCTATAAAATAAGACTAATATCCACTTCATAGGGTTGGTGTGAAAGTCAGATTAGATAATATATATCAAAGCACATTCCAAATCCTAAGATGATAATCAAGTGTTAGCTGTCACTAGATCTTTCTGGGGCACCTGCTTTTTCCTTATAGGAAATTGGTCAAAGTTAGCAGCCTAATACTTCTCATAACCAGAAGTATTGTGCTCTAGAGGCCAAAGGGCCTTGAGTCACCCATGCAAATACCAAATCAAAAAATACAAAGCTGCCTCTGGTCCTTGCCAGATTTGGGGTGGTTGAGGGGAGAGGGAAGAGGAAAGGCCAGGCTACTATAACAAGTGCTTCTCAGCCAAATCCACTCATCATCAGTCTACAACTTCCCCATTCCCACCCTTGCCCCAACATGAGCAGAAACTCCCATGTTCAGATTATAGAAAAAGCAAAGTTGTTGAGTTCATGAAGATTTTTAAATTCAAATGTTTAGTTATTTGGGGTTATACATTTAAAGTCATGATGAATCTTGATAAATTTTAAGAGTTTAAAAGTTTTGTGCATCTCTTATTTTTTTAACTTTTAAAATTATCCTCTGATCATTCTATTCAGTTCTCTATTTTTTGGCACAGATTCCTTTAGAAAATAACCTACTTATGTCCGGGCGCAGTGACTCATGCCTGTAATCCCAGCACTTTGGGAGGCTGAGGTGGGCGGATCACCTGAGGTTGGGAGTTCAAGACCAGCCTGGGCAAACATGATGAAACCCCATCTCTACTAAAATCACAAAATTAGCTGGGTGTGGTGGGGCATGCCTGTAATCCCAGCTACTGAGCAGGCTGAGGCAGGAGAATCCCTTGAACCTAGGAGACGGACGTTGCAGTGAGCCAAGATCACGACATTGTACTCCAGGCTAGGCAACGAGAGCGAAACTCCATCTCAAAAAAAGAGAAAAGAACCTACTTATTTCTTTGAGATTTACAAATCTCATGGCTTTAGGTTATTTATTTGCTTTTTATGTCAAGTAAATCTCAAAATGGAAAAAAAAGAAAGGGAAGCAGGCAGAAAAATGTTAAACTTTAAAAACATTTTAACCCACTATATAAGCATAAAAGAGATTCGATTTCTATCATATAGACAATTTTAAGAGAGAGGACATTTAAGTAAAATAGTCCTCAGATTGTATCTGTGACATAAAACTCCTTAGGACCTTTCATAATTCCTTGGGTGCTCTGATCACCATTATATAAAGAAATGTGCTCCTTTTCCTGGCTTCATTTTGCCTGGAAGAGACTCATTTGTCTACAGAAGATATGATTTAAACTTCAGACCACCAGTGATAGTATAACAAAGAATATTATTGTGGGAACCTGTTTCACCATTATGCCAAAGATGTTATAAAATTAAAACCTATTTTCAAATTCATACTTTTAATTTGAAACCTTAGCTGCTCAGCCTGAGTGAACCAACAGAGGGCAGCAGAAACTCACATGTTCAGATTGTAGAATGTGCAGAGGTTCCGTTTACAAGGATTTTTTTTTCTTTTTTTTGAGACAAAGTCTAGCTCTGTCACCCAGGCTGGAGCGCAGTAGCATAATCTCAGCTCACTAAAACCTCTGCCACATAGACTCAAGCCATTCTCCCACTTCAGCCTCCCAAGTAGCTGGGACTACAGGCTGTTGCTACCATCCCTGGCTAACTTTTGTATTTTCTGTAGAGACGGGGTTTCATCATGTTGCCCATACTGGTCTCAACTTCTGAGCTCAAGCGATCTACCCACTTTGGCCTCCCAAAGGCATGAGCCACTGTGCCCAGCCTTACAAGGATTTTCAATTTCATAAGTGTATTTCTGCTTTCCCGCAGGCCATGCATTTAAAGCCATCCCTAATCTCGACAAGTTTTAAATCAAAGTTTTATGTATGTACTTGTTTTTTTTTTTTTTTGACATTTTAACACTGCTCAAGTGACACATGCTCACTATTTTAAAAATTAGAAAATATAGATAAGCATTAAAAAATGTTAACCATAATCTCCCAACACACAGATAGATAACAACTATTACAAGTTTTTGGTATCAATCCTTCCAGTCATTTTTCATACATAGCAAGACCCTGCTTCTAAAATAATCAGAGCAATTCATTTTTTATACAATAATTTTATAAAGTGGTAATATTATAAAGAGTTTATAATCATTGATGAACAATGGCTTTTTTATTTGTTTGGATTTTTTATTTTGCTTTTTCAGGAAAAAAGATTCTATCTGCTTATATTTTGAGGCAAGGGAAAATAATTGATTTTTCTATTGAAATTATTAGTATCACTTGTCACTTTTTGGACCCTAAAAATCTATTCTTAACTGCTTTTGTAGGTAAGAGAAAAATGGATATATGATTCAAGCTAATAATAGGCTAACCTGACCATTGCCTTTTAACTTGATGTGCAATAAGCAGTATTTAGCTATGCCAAGGAAACCTAAAAATCTAGTATCCCATTCCCTACTCCAGGATATACACATTCATACTTACATAGAACTGTATAAAAGTATGAAAACAATTGGAAGTTTAGAACCAGAAAAGATCTTGAGACTCATGTAGTCCAACCTTTCATTTCATAGATGAGTAAAGTTAGGATCAAAAAACTCTGCAACTTGCCAAGATCACACAGCTTGGTTAGATAAAAATGCCACACAAGAAATCAAATCTGTTATATACAACCCAGTGGTTGCTTGTTTCTTCACAGCCAACCCTTCCTCTTTTGAAGTATATGACACACCTAGATTTCTTCTTGGAAAGATATAGTGGAATTCCTCAAATTCTTCTCCTAACTTTAAAAGAATTTGGTATTTGTATTAGTCTGTTCAGGCTGCCAGGACAGAATACCACAGACTGGGTAGCTTAAACAACAGAAACATATTTTCTCACAGTTTGGAGGATGAAATTCCAAAATCAAGGTACCAGCAAGGTTGGCTTCTAGTGAGGCCTCTCTTCCTGGCTTGTAGACAGCAACGTTTTAGTAAAAACTCCTGGTGTCTCTTTCTCTTTTAATAAGGACACCAATCCTATTGGACTGTGGCCACACCCTTATGACCTCATTTACCTTAATTACCTCCATAAAGGCCCTATCTCCAAATATAGTCAATCATATTAGAGTTACAGCTTTATTATATGAATTTGATCCATAACAGTATTCATCTCCAGGTTCTTAAGACACATTTTAAATCATTTGGCTTTACTTTTTTTAATTTAAAGAAATACCTAGGCAGAGAAGATTATAAATAAGTTTCCTTATGCTTATTTATGTTTTTTCATTTTTGATACCAAGATTGTAATATTATAATTTTTAAATGCTTAAAAAATAGCAAGTAGATATATAAAACTTTTAAATGGCTTTAAGACAAGATTAGTAATGGCTTTCAACGGGCTCTGAGGAAGGCAGAAACAAATGGTGTTAAACAGCTTCTGGGCATCAGAATTCTCCATTTTACTGAAAGACCCAAATGTTTACACCCCCTGTGGCATTGAGTTGACTATATATAGTTCTGGTTGAATTCAAGGTGATTCAGAAGAGGGAAAATAGTGCCTAGTCACTTCTGTCACATTCTAATACCAGAAGATATAGGCAAACATAATTATTTGTCAAATTGTTACATACTGTATTATAAATAACTGCTTGGTTGACTTTCAGGGAATCCTGTATCAGCTGTGGTCACCTGCAATCTCTTTGTTGTGCCTGCACTGAGAAAGATGCAGGGCATCTTGGATCCTCGGCCAACCATCATCAAAGCAAGGGTAATGTTTTCTAATGACCAGAAACCAAAATTGAAGCCTGACAACAGTTAGGGGTATGATTTCCTAACTGCCCAAAATAAATGTCTAGAGTTTTATGTTAGTTTTTGATGAAAAATGTGATTATATTCTCCCCTGTGTACTAGAAAATATAGAGGAGAGGGTCCCTTTTATTCTCTTTCAGGACATCTAAAGTGAATAATTTTATTTTTTATGTATTTATTTAGAGATGGAGTTTTGCTCTTATTGCCCAGGCTAGAGTGCAGTGGTGTAATCTCTGCTCATTGCAACCTCCATCTCCCGGATTCAAGCAATTCTTCTGCCTCAGCCTCCTGATTAGCTGGGATTACAAGCACGCACCACCATGCCCAACTGATGTTTTGTATTTTTTAAGTAGAGACGAGGTTTCACCATGTTGGCCAGGCTAGTCTTGAACTCTGACCTCTGGTAATCCACCCACCTCAGCCTCCCAAAGTGCTGGGATTACAGGCACGAGCCACCGTGCCCAGCCTAAAGTGAATAATTTTCTCCAGATAGAAATCCATATACAAATTCAGCAAGTACAGCTTAAAAACTTGATACCTAAGGACAAAACAGTCAATAGGATTTATCTGGCACTACCCTAACACTAGACCTGTCTAGAACAAGGGAAAACTCCCTTTTTCCCTTGCAAACTCATAGGGACAACAATTAACCTGCTCACTTTTTATGTGACTTCAATGATAAACTTTTAAAAATTCAGAAGACAAAGGACTAGAGAGAGACCCTGATGATTCAGCAGGGAAAAGGTAACCATATTATTTAGAAGAGGATTGCTAAGGCTGAGAAATATTATACTATGGTAAAAGTCTCTTGGAAATTAGGTCTCCTTCTCCGTCAACACTAACTTCAATGTGATTTACTACTACTCAATTAATTATGTTATACACTTTCTATGTGACTAATGAATAATGTTCTTAGCAATATAAACTACAATACCAAACCATTACTTTCCAAGAGTTCCAAAATAAAATCAAATATGGCAGAATGCAATGATTAGTTGATAGGAAGAACAAAGAAAACATAAAAGATACAATATTAGGCTGGGTGCAGTGGGTCTTACCTGTAATCCCAGCACTTTGGGAGGCCAACGCAGGTGGATCACCTGAGGAGGTCAGGAGTTGAAGACCAACCTGGCCAACATGGTGAAACCCCATCTCTACTACAAATAGAAAAAGTTAGCTGGGCATGGTGTTGGGCACCTGTAATCCCAACTATTCAGAAGGCTGAGACAGTTGAATTGCTTGATCCCAGGAGGCAGAGGTTGCAGTGAGCTGAGATAGTGCCATTACACTCCAGCCTGGGAAACGAGCAAAACTTCTCAAAATAAAAAGATAATGTATTAATAAAATATTGCTCTGAGAATGAAAACATTAAGAAAATCTAGGCTTTTAATAGTCTTAACATTGACTTTTTATATACAAAGAACTTGTGACTAGGATATGAAACAATCTCCTTTTCTTAAAACTTCATGAAAAATTTAACTGTTTTTTCAATAAACAGAATGATAATCAAATTGGAAATTAAGTGGAAAAGGAAATAAAAACCATCTATGAATAAAAAGTATTCTGAGCCAGGCACTGTGGCTCACGCCTGTAATCCCAGCACTTTGGGAGGCCAAGGTGGGTGGATCAAGAGGTCAGGAGTTCAAGACGTGCCTGACCAACATGGTGAAACACCAGCTCTACCAAAAATACAAAAATTAGCCAGGCGTGGTGGCACACACCTGTAATCCCAGCTACTCAGAAGGCTGAGGCAGGAGAAAAAAAAAGTAGTCTGATCAAGTAAGAAGTCAGAGTCACAAAGCTTAGATTTAGACAGTCAAACCAGTAATACTGAATTTACTATCTTCATATTTACTAAATTAAGGAAATAAAAATCCACATTATTATAGGAGAGAGAGAGAAAGAAGGCTTCCCTTAGACTTTGCAGATCTCTTTTGAATCCTTTCATTTATTTCTCATTTTAACTTTCACCATCTCTTCTTTAAAACAGACACTGTGGCAGCCATCTATTCTGATCACAAAGATGAGATGGTAGTCTGTAATCAGACTCATGCTTGATATGTTGTTCCTGATGCTGCCCATTTCCTGTCAGCAAAGGATATTAAAAAGTCATACAAAAAAAATCAGTCAAATGCCTTTCTCCCACAGCAGTGTCACTGGAACTGCCAGTATGGGTTATTAGTATGCTTGGCTATGTGATTCCTTTGTTTCTTAGCTCCCCAAATCACCCCCACATCATTACTGACACAACTGCCACTTTAAAGCATAAACCTATATACTTCCTTGAAACATGACAAATCTTTTCTCTATGTTCTGACCATAAAAGATGCAGCTTACACACACCACTTATTACAGTTCTTCAAAATAGATGCCATAGTCATTGCCTTTACCAATGCTTGCTGCTTTAAGTGGGAGTCGGTGTTAAATGCTGCAGTTGGTAAATCATACTGCTGGACTCTGATGTGGCCATTCTATGTCTCAGTGCAGAAAGTGTCATCCTTGCTAGGCACAGTGGCACACTCCTGTAATCCCTGCTACTCAGGAGGCTCAGATGGGAGGATTGCATGAGGCCAAGTGTTTGAGACAAGCCTGGGCAACATAGCAAGACCCTGCCTCTAAAAAAAAAATTAACAAAAAGAAAATATCATCCTTTTGTATCAAAGCATTCAGAAGAACATCAGTTTAGAACAAACATTTCCCTTATATCCTTGGTTACTTATCGTTGGAGGTGAAATACTTGTTATTTTCAGTATACAATAAGAAACACTTCCAAAGCATCTGATTAAAAAAAATAAAAAAGAAAGGAACACAATCCTAGCAATTCATCAAATAGAATTATTGACCCCATGTTTTCACACAAGGACATCTTATCATGTGTTTCCTTAATATCCCATCAAAGCATTCTGTACCACCCTTCTTCTCAACTTTTTTCACTAGAAACATACCTGGAGTAACTCCCATTAGTATTAACAACTTATGTTAGGCAGTGATTAAGAGATGGAAAAGGGGGAAAGTGTGTTCTAGAAGATAACCAACTATAAGTCCCTTGTGCCCATCCCCCTCACAAACACAGCCAGAACAATGAATAAATAACCACATTTTAATGAAAATAACTGAAGAAGAGCAGCAGAGTCTATCCATGGAGTAACAAACCCTGGTGAGCACAGAAACCCTGATGGTCATATAGAGAACAGAAGGAAACACCAGGCCTCCACCATCACATCCCCCAGCCAGATCAGATCAGCAGGAAACCAAGAAGAACCTCCTATGGCAAGCAGTTAAGCAGAGGATCCCAACAACCCCCATCAACACTTTAGATACCTACAGACCTTCCAGTGTGGTACCCTGCAGTCCTCATAAGCATGAAGCCCAGCTGAAGGAACTGCCTGGACTCCACAGAGCTATGCTCTCCCCAGAAAAGGAGCCAACACTGTGCTGCAACCTCTGTGGCCTGTGCAGCTACTGAACTATATCATGTTGGAACAGGAACTATGGCTGGAGTGTGTCTTGCTCTGGGAGTGAGTAGCCACAGCACTCCTTCATCCCCAATGTTACCCCAACACTGCATCCTGATATCCACATGCTGAAATGCAAGCAGATGTTAGAACTTTCCCAATGGAGCCAAATAGAGGTAGAGCTACTCCACCTACCCCTTCCCCATCCCCCTCAGTCAGAGCTGAAGCCATATACTGCCTCCTAGGAAAACAGTATCTTGGCTGCTTAGAGCAGTCATGCCTCCCTAAGTTCAGTCTTGCACTAGCCTAAGTTGAAGCAGCACCCAGCATCCCAGGAAATGGTGCTTTTGCTGCCCAAAGTAATCATGTGCTCTAGTACCTAAGCTAAAGCAGCACCCTTTATCCCAAAGAAAAGGTGCCAGAGCCACCCAGAACAGTCATGTCCCCAAGGCCTGAGCTGAAGCAGCATATCACCCCCTAGGAAACTGGCGCCCTGGCTGAACTGAGCAGCTGGATAACTGCTGCTCAAAGCTATGCCAGTGTAGTACCTACAACCCAGGGAAACAGCAGTAGCTGAGTTACGACACCCCATCAGACAGGCCAAACAACTTCATACTCCCTTTCCTGAAGCTAGACTAGCCCCCTAGTGTCTGAGCAGCTGAGAAACACCTCTTCCCAGGAAGTGCAGTCATAGCTATGCTATTTACTGCCCCCACCCTAGGCCCAAATGACAGCTGTGCTCCACCATTCTGGGTTACTTACTGCTGCTGCACCTAGACGCACAAAGTCTGGGATTCTGCCAAGCCCCACCAGCACAGGGTCTAGAGTCACTACTACACGATGCCTCATCCCCTGGGACCTAGGTTGCCACTAAGCCCTATTGGCTCAGGTTCCTGGATGACAACCATAGCCTGCTCCTCAGGCCCAAACATCAAGGGCATGCCTTCTTCTCTGGAGTCAGGCTAGAGCTGTGCCCTGCCCCTCTGGGGCAGGATCATAGCTACAACTCAGCTACCTGAACCCCAGCTAAGGGGTACCTTGGCTATATGGACAACCCACACCCAAACCTACCACAGAGAAACAAGCACCCCAAGATCCAGGTGCCACAATAGGTTCACAAGACCCTGAGCCTAGGACCCTGGCCCCACATCCACTCTAAACACCCATACCAGGGAACCCAGTGCTGCAGTAGGCCTTGTAGGCCATGTCAGATTTGATACCAAGAGGGAACCCCCAGGCTATGTCTTCCCATTGTGGCGAAAATAAGAATGAGGAAGACACTAAAAGCCCTTGACACTGAATATTAGCAACCTATGCCACCACCACCACTACTTCCACAAACTTCTATGGACTAGGTAACTGAGGCACCCAGAGTTACTGCTCACCCTGAATGCACCTGAAGATGCTGCATGGAAACTATACATCATCCTTGCTAGGCACAGTGGTACTCTCCTGTAATCCCTGCTACTCAGGAGGCTCACTATACCTATTGAAAAAGTCACCACATGCTTCCCAACTAGCAGACTAAAACCCAATTGCAAATGAAAGTCTTTCTCTATGGGAACCAGAAAGATTAGAAGAAAGAATTGTTCCACCAAGTGCACAAATTAATGCAGGCTCACAGGAAACACAAAAAGCAAGCAAATATGACACCACTGAAGAAATATAATGGGTCTCTAGTAAAAGACCCAAATGAAAAGAAAATCAATGATGTGCTGGAAAAGAAATGCAAAATAATTATCTGAAGGAAATTCAATGAGATATAAGAAAATGTATATATAGACAATTCAACAGAATCAGGAAAACAATTCATTATTTAAATGAGAAATTCAACAGAGATAGGAATCATAAAAAAAAAAAAAAAAACCAGAAATCCTACAGCTATTGAATTCAATGAATAAATAAAAATTACAATAGAGAGCTTCAACATCAGACTTTGTCAAGCAGAAGACTTTCCAAACTTGAAGATAGGTCATTTGAAATTACCCACTCAGCACCGGGTGCAGTGCCTCATGCCTGTAATCCCAACACTTTAGGAGGCTGAGGCAGGTGAAACACCTGAGGTTGGGAGTTCCAGACCAGCCTGACCAACATGGAGAAATCCCATTTCTATTAAAAATACAAAATTAGCTGGGCGTGGTGGCACATGCCTGTAATCCCAGCTATCGGGAGGCTGAGGCAGGAGAATCACTTGAGCCTGGGAAGCGGAAGTTGCAGTGAGCCGAGATTGTGCCACTGCACTCCAGCCTGGGCAACAAGAGCAAAACTCCGTCTCAAAAAAAATATATATATATACTGCCCACTCAGAAGGGGGAAAAAAGAAATAATGAAAAAGAATGAAGAAAGCCTATAAGATTTATGGGACATTATTAAATCAACAAATATTTTTATCATCAGAGTCCAGAAGAAGAGGAGAAAGGAAAGAGGATAGAAAACTTATTTAATGAAATATACCTGAAAATGTCCTAAATCTATGGAGAGATAAAGACATCCAGATCCAGGAAATTCAAAGGTCTCCAAATATATCCAACTCAAAAGATCCTTCCTAATTTGTCAAAAGTTAAAGACAAAGAATTAAAATAACAGCAAAACAAAAGCGTCAAGTCACATATAAGGAAGTCCACATTAGACTAACAGCATATTTCTCTGCAGAAACCTTACAGGCCAGGTAAGAAAGGAATGATACATTTAAAGTGCTGAAAGAAAAAAAAAATTGCCAACCAAAAATACCACATGTAGCAAAGCTATCCTTCAAGAATGAGGAAGAAATAAAGCCTTTTCCAGACAAACAGAAGCTGAACACCAGCTTCTTAGCCTTCTTTTATCTTTTCACCGGAGCAACCCAACCCCTGGACTTTCTGTATTACGAATATAAGGTGGCTGGGCATGGTGGCTCATGCCTATAATCCCAGCACTCTGGGAGGCCAAGGCTGGAGGATTGCTTGTGCCCAGGAGTTCAAAACCAGCCTGAGAAACATAGCAAGATGCCATCTCTGCAAAAAAATTAAAATTAGCTAGGTGTGATGGCACATGCATGTGGTGTCAGCTACTCAGGAGGCCAAGGCAGGAGGATCACTTGAGCCCAGGAGGTCAAGGCTACAGTGAGCGATGATTGTGCCACTGCACTCCAGCCTGGGTGACAGACTGAGACCTTGTGTCAAAAGAAAAAATACATTTTTAAATTTTATTTAAAAGGAAAAGAACATAAAGTGGCAGTGATAGCAATAACAGAATACCAAGGATAGTCTCCATGTCCACTGTATTCTTTGCAGAACCCCTACCATCTTGCAGTTTTCTGAGATGATCAGGTGACCAAGTTTGTTGTTTTTTTTTTTATTCTGTAGTTATCATGTGATGTAAAACTGGATCCTCGTCCAGAATACCATCGGTGTATACTAACTTGGCATCACCAAGAACCACTGCCTTGGGCACAGAGTACAGGTTAGTCATTCACATCTACAAGTATTCCTAGGCACCTATCCTGTTAAAATACAAATTTATATATAATCTTCCTTGGTTATAACTGATTTTATAATTATTATACATTTTCCTTTTTGAAAAGTTAGATGAGTTAAATTATTCCTAAACAGTATGACAAAAGTTAAAAAAATAATTATTAGAAGTTTACTTATTTTATTGAGCCATATTTTCTAGATAAACATTTAGAATGTCCACATATCATTGACTAATATCCTGCAATAAATCTAGAATTACAGAAGATTTGATATGTTTCTTCAACCCATAAGTTCTGAGTATAACTTTGTAGGAAAAGGAGGAGATTCTAGCTATACCATCCTGAAATGTGAGGTGAAAGCCTAATTTATAATATAATTCTCTGTACTCTACTATACCCTAGTTACTGGTAAATTTGAAGAGCAGAGAAATCAATATTGATAATTCAGAGTTCTATGGTTACTTCCACTAGACTTAAATTGTTATTCCCAACTTTTCTAGTCATATTTTGCCTAACTTTTGATGTGACTCCAGAAGAACTGGAGTACTCTTAAACAAAGATCCTACCAAGTGAAAACATCAACTAACAGTGACCAAGTTCATGCCATCAGAGAGACCTGCATTCAGATTGCCACCAACCTAGTTAGCAGGATCCTAGGCAAGTTACCTAAGATTTCTTTGAGTTTTGTGAGAATCAAATAAGGCGCTTAAGTAAACTGCCTAATACTTTGGCAGTTAGTAAAGAAATGGTAGCTGCTACTGTTATTGTCATTATTATTTTAATAGGTTTTTTAAAGCCTCCCTATTCAGACATGCATAACATTTCAGCCTGAATTGAGAAATTGTGGCATTTTGCATAATGCTATAAAATCCTGGTTTTACTCTTTCAAGCAAGAATTTCTAATGTTTATTTTTAAAGTTTGAATGAGGAGGTGGTAGGAAATAATAGCATGGCCACCTGAAAAGGGTACTGGAAAGTCTGATCATCTCTTCTCCTCTTGAAGACCTGCACTTCTGTCTGTTTTCATTTTGAAAAGGTCTACAAGGCCCCAAATGTATACGCCATGATGCTTGTGCTGCTGTAGTAAGAGTATTTCTTTCTAGGTAATCAAATGAGCAGCCGTTTGATGAGCATGCGCAGTGCCAATGGATTGTTGATGCTACCTCCAAAGACAGAACAGTACGTGGAGCTCCACAAAGGCGAGGTGGTGGATGTCATGGTCATTGGACGGCTATGATGGTCACCAGCAGGAGAAAGCTTTGATGCATGTCCACATATCACTGACTGTATCCTGTAATATGCAACGGCACAGCTAGTTTTCCTGATTTGGATAAAAGTTGATCTGTATAGTCAACATCTGGAACTATATTTCAAATGAATTTAAATATCTTTTAAAGAAAAAAACACCTAAAAATAAATCTTAACAGACAATTCTATTCTGATTATATCAAGGCAAATTTTTCCTTTCTTGCAAATTGCTTTGTGTGTTCAATGCTAGGTCTGATAGCGATAGCTTTTAGTAGACAGCAGTAGGTGCCTGCAGAACTTGTGTTTTTCTCATCTTTAAAATACAACTACTTATGCTCTTAAATCAAGGCTGTCTGCTTATTTATACTAGCGTAGGCAACACTTGGATTTCCCTTCTTAGTATGCTTCATAACTGCTTTACAGAAAGCTTTTGCTTGTTCTTTCTCATGTATCTCGTGTTTATGTGCACAGTGCCAAAAGAAGACTGACTGGGTGGAGGCTCTGCCTTGCCTCAAGAACCATCCCCTGCAGAGCATCTAGGGAGGTTTCTCACCCCCATAGCCTCATGGCACAGTACTCTTGGGCAGTAACTGGATACCTTTTATTTGAACAAACAAACTGAAGAAAAATGCTTCCTTAAGTGCTGACAGCCTTTTTAACCAATACATTTAAAATTGTACAGAACAAAAAAATAAAATCAAAGACTGATCTTGTACAGATATTAGTGTTACCAGCATTCATGTGGAAATCAAGAGCAAAGACAATATAATGTTAAACAACTCTGTACCATAACATTTTCTGTAATGATACTGAAACTTAATGAATAAAAAAATTCCTTGATCATTATTTAAAAATGTATTGTTTTGGCCTCATTATTAAAAAGAGAGGAATGTCATGCCATTCTGATAGGGTTCTGCCTGGCTAAAAGGAATAGTTAAGATGGCCTACCAAGGAGATTTTAAATATAGTACATTATAACTCTGTATCTTATTACAATGTTTGGGAAAAAATGTGATCATAGCATTGTGATCTATAGAGTTGTGAAAATACAGATGAGAAGGTAGGAGAACCTGAAGTTGGTCTGGTGTTTCCAGTCATAGCTGGAGAACAGCAAGCAAATTTAGAGGAAGGATATTAATGACTTAGAAAAAAAATTTATTTTAGATGCCATAAAAGCCAATTTTAAACATCTACAGTTCTTTGAAATGGAGAAAAAAATAAGTAATGAACCAAAAAAATTGCAGATGAGTACCTCGAAATTTTTTTTTTGAGAGGGAGTCTCTGTCGCCAGGCTGGAGTGCAGTGGCTCAATCTCAGCTCACTACAACCTCTGCCTCCCAGGTTCAAGTGATTCTCCTACCTCAGCTTCCCAAGTAGCGGACTACAGGCATGCACCACTACACTCAGCTAATTTTTGTATTTTTTTTTTTTTTAGTAGAGATGGGGTTTCACCATGTAGGCCAGGATGGTCTTGATCTCTTGACCTTGTGATCCACCTGCCTTGGCCTCCCAAAGTGCAGGGATTACAGTCGAGAGCTACTGCGCCCAGCCATACCTTGAAATTTTTTAACCATATTAGGAAGTGAGAAATGGAGAAAAAAATCTGTGCTGACCATAGAAAATACAATAAGTAAAATACACTCTATCCACAATGGCTCCTTTAATAAAAATTTAGGGGCCCTTTTCAAATGGTGGTAACAGGAGGATGTTAAATATACTGTAAAATGTGCTCAGGAAACTAAACTACAAAAATTGGCCTACTATTAAACAAAATGTTAAGGGAAGGTAAATAAAGGCAAAATAGTAAATACATATTTGATACTGATATGTGATATTTTCATTTTATATTTACAGTTGAAGAATGTAAGATTAGTTAATAGAGGTCAAATGGAAGAGTATGCAAAAATCCCTTTATCTACATTCAGGAAATATTTGTTAAGCATCTACTCTGTGCTTGGGTACAAAGTACATCATGCTACTATTTATAAACATGAATAGGGCAAAGTACCTGACATTATACTTCATTAGGGAGATAACAAAAATGTATGCAAATAACCATAATATTTAATATATTTGATAATATAGAGTCTATAGAATGTAAAAAATGCCATAACACAGCTTTTAAGGATTGGAGGTATTCAGATGAGATTTCAAGGCATGAGATGGCATATTAGTGGGTCTTTTTATTTTTAGAGGCACAGTCTTGCTCTACTGCCCAGGCTGCAGTGCAGCATCATGGTCATAGTGCACTACAGCCTCGAACTCCTGGCCTCAAGTAATCTTCCTGCATTGGACTCCCAAAGTGCTGGAATTATAGGTGTGAGCCACCATGCCCAGCTGACATTAGTGGTTCTTGAAGGAAGGGTAGAATTTTGAAGAGGAAAGCATAGGAAACAGGGTATTCCAAAAACAAAGAATTAATAATAATTGTTTTATTATAGAATATACAGTCTATATTCTTTTTTTTTTTTTTTTTTTGAGACGGAGTCTAACGCTATCACCAGTCTGGAGCGCAATGGCTCGATCTTGGCTTACTGCAACCTCCAACTCCCTCGCTCAAGCAATTCTCCTGCCTCAGCTTTCCAAGTAGCTGGAATTACAGGCACACGCCCCTATGCCCAGCCAGTTTTTGTATTTTTAGTAGAGACAGAGTTTCACCATGTTGGCCAGGATGGTCTCTGGTCTCGATCTCCTGACCTCGTGATCCACCTCAGCCTCCCAAAGTGCTGGGATTTACAGGTGTGAGCTACCATGCCCGACCTATATATATTTTTTTTTTTTTGAGATAAGGTTTTACTCTGTCTCCCAGGCTGGAGTGCTGATTTGAGCTCACTGCAGCCTTGACCTCCCTGGGCTCAAGTGATCCTTCCATCTTAGCCTCCTGAGTAGTTGGGACTATGCACACACTTTTGTTTTGTTTTGTTTTGTTTTTTGTCTTTTGCAGAGGCAGGCTGGTCTCAAACTCCTGGGCTTAAGTGATCCACCCATCTCAGCCTCCCACAGTGCTGGAATTACAGGCATGAACCACCAACCTCAGGCTACAGTCCATCTTTTTAAACTCTTAAGTTACAGAAACAAAATAGGTATATGATATATGTAAGACTGAAAAGGTACTGATTTAAGGCCCAAACTATAAAGTTCTGAAATAAGAGTCTAGATTTATTCTAGGAGCAATAAAACCATTAGAGATTCTTGATTAGGGAAGTACCATGATCAGAGACATCCTTTTAGGGAAAATGCTTTGGCAGCCTTGAGTCGGATAGACTGCAATGGAGGGAAACAAGTGAGAGACACCAGTTAAGAAGTTATAGCAATTGTGCAGGTGAGGGGTAGAGGTGATGGTGATAGGATGGTCTGGACAGATGGATACATCTCTGGAGATGAAAGAATGGAAAGAATTTTCTGGCTGATTTCAGATTTTCGAAGGAAGTTAGAGAAGGGAGAGATGATTCAAAGTCTCCCCTCTTGGCTGACTGAGAAAATGTTAAACATTAACAAAAAGAAAGAAAAATGAGTTTTATGGAGGAGTTGATGAGTTTGAGCATGTGTTTGAGATGCCAGGAATGCTAAGATAGACATGTCCCAATGGCATTTGAAACTACAGGTTAGGAGTTCACAAAAGAGTTACTGACTGGATAAACCTTGGAAATCATTCACAAAAAGGTGGTATCTGAAATGCAAGGAATTTCATTTATAGATGGAAAAGATTATCAAGAAAAGGCTTGCCAAGGGAATAGGACAGGCCTTGGGATGTTGGAGGAAAAAGCTAACATCTTCCAATGAGGATGTTGGAATGGAATGAGAAGAAAAACAGTTTAGAGAAGAGAAGATAAGGGAGTACAGGGTCCCACAAACCAAGAAGGAAAGTCTCAAGAAGGAAGGATAATCAACTGTAAATGCAAAAGAAATACCAAGAAGGATGAAGGCTCCAAAAGTCTTAATTGATTAGGCCATTATTTGTAAACTGTAAGAGTACAATTTTAGTAGTGGCTTAAGAGCAAAAGCCAGATAGCAAAATAGAAACTGTGAATATGAATTATTTGGAATTTCTGTGTGAAAAAAGACACAAAATAGTAGCTGTTTGGAAAACTCTGCCCCTACCGCAAAATCTCTCTCTCTTTCCCTCCCCCACAAAGAGGCTCCCTTATCTCTCACTTTACATACCGGCCCTAGCCCTCGCGCCGCCCAGCTTCCCGCCCAGCAGTTCAAACTGACCAACAGTTGCCCACCACCTCGGCTTTTGGCTTCCCCACCCCCAGCCCTTCAGCCCCCTATAAATAACCCTGCCCCTCTGAGCGGCGCGGCCATTCTCCTCTTCCTCCCGGCTGGTCCGCCCGGAGGCTCTTTCCTCTCAATAAAGCCTGAACTTAAGGAATTTCCTCTAGCCTGCGGTCCGGTTTTTTCCGAACGAGCTCAGTCTTCCCGCAGAGGGTAGGTCGGACAAATGGTGCCGGAAACCCGGGACGGGAGCTGGGGCCGTTGGCCCGGCCACGGCCCCCCTCCCCGACCTACCCAACACTGGCCCTGCCACCTCCACGTTCCGATTAAGGTAAGCCAAGTTTTTCTTGCTTTGCCTTCCCCCGCTTCCCGTCTCCTCTTCCTACGGCATGGTGCAGTTGCTCCCTCCGGCGTTCCGCACGGACTTCTTGCCTAGTCTCGGCCGAGCCAAGGTAGTCTTCCATTCCCGCTCCAGGAGCCTTCCGAGGGACAGCCGCCAGACGGGGGACGCCCCTCTGACCGCTTCCCTTTCCGTACTTAATTGTACTCCGGGGAATTTGCAATGAACGGGGACGCCTTTTCGTTGCATCTGCCCATCCGCGCCGGAGAGTCTGTAGCTGCGCCTGCCATGGGAAATTCGGAGTCCAAAATACCTCTGAGCACCCCCCTCGGGTGCTTGCTGCGAAATTTTACCAAATTGGGATATTCCCAAACCCTCAGAAAGAAAAAGCTTATTTTCCTGTCCCACGTGGCTTGGCCCCAATACAAACTCAGTAACCAGTCACATTGGCCCCCGACTGGCACTTTTGATTTCAACACCCTCCGAGATCTCGACAATTTTTGTCGCCGCACGGGCAAGGACAATGAAATTCCTTACATCCAGGCTTTTTGGGACCTCCGTACCCACCCCAACCTATGTTCTTCGTGCTCCACCTACCAAATCCTCTTATCTCGAACCCCCCCGTAAATCTTCCTCCACTACCTCTCCCCCTCCCTACTCCTCACCGGAGGATCTGCCTGAACATCTGTCCTCTCCTGCCAATCTCAGCAACCACTCGCCATCAACCACACGCCCTTCCCCCACTCCCTCTGCACCTCCTACCTCAGAGGCCATGCCTCGCTCTCCCTCTACTCCCTCCGAGCCCCCTCCCTCAGAGGCTGCACTTCCTCTTGCCTCTCCGGTGGCGGCCCACACCCGCTCCCACCAGCCAGCTATCCTGGCCCCACTCCGAGAAGTAGCAGGCGCAGAAGGTTTAATCAGGGTCCATGTTCCTTTCTCACTCCAAGACCTGTCCCAAATTGAGAAACGTTTAGGATCCTTCTCAGCCAACTCGTCCACCTATATTAAAGAATTCCAATACCTCACTCAAACATAAGAAGCCCTAGTCCGGTACACTCGACTAGATCCAGCCTCCCAAAATGGGGCCACTGTATTAGCCTCCCATTTTATCTCCCAATCAGCACTCGACATAAGAAAGAAACTAAAGAAAGCAGAAGAGGGGCCAGAGACTCCCATCCAAAACCTGGTAAAAATGGCCTTTAAAGTATTCAATGCCAGGGAAGATGCGGCTGAGGCTGCCCGCCAAACTCGCATGAAGCAGAAGGCTGCCCTCCAGACCCAAGCCCTAGTGGCGGC